CGTTTGTATTTCTGCTTCCTCCTGAGGGGTATTTCCACCGGGTGTGGAATATGGGATGGGCAGTTGTTTTCTTTCTGCACTTGAAATTCCTCAGTCCATGGCTCACTTGTGAAGTTTCTAAGGGGACTTTGTGGGCTTTGTCACCGTTCCTGTGTATGTAAGACATTTTCCCTTCTCTGGCTGCCTTTAGGATTTTTCTCTTTGACGACTTGAACATGATGTCTGGTCTTGTTTTTTGGGTATTTATCCTGTTCAATGTTTTCAGAGTTCCTAAATTTGGAGTTTACTAATTTTGTGAAGCTCTTGGCCATTTGGCTATTTCTTTCGTTCCGTTCTCTCCTGAACTTCTAAGTCTGTGTATGTAGCAGTGTTTATTTTCCCATAGCTTTTGGATGTCCTCCAAGTAGGAAAATTTGTCTTCCCCTTGAGTCCTCAGCTTGGATTATTTTTACTAGACTGTTTTGAAGTTCACTGGATCTTTTTCCAGTTCAAGTCTGCTCTTTCCGTATCTATATAATTATCTATGGAAGGCATGTGTGATCTGTTACTGTGTTCTTATTTCTAGCGTTTCCACCGCACTCTTCCTTATGATTTCCGTTTCTCTTTGAAATTACCCGTCTGGTCTCACGTGCTGTCTGTCTTTTCCATTAGAGTCTTTGATTATCCATCATGCTTTAAATTCCTGATGGCGTCAGAACTTGTCATGTGTGACTCTGGCTCTGCTGATTACCTTGTCTCCTCAGGGTGTTTTTACTACTTAGAAGGCTTCATGATGTTTTTGTCGAAAGGTGTATGTTTTGTATGCAACAGGAGAAACTGAGGTTGGCATTTAAAATGGATACATTTGACTGTGTTGCCTTCTCCTAGTCCTTTAGGGTGGGGATCTGTGTTGATCTATTCAGGGATTCTGCTGTGTTTGATGTTTATTATCACTATGGTTACTGGAGTTGACATTTGTTGTTGCCATGGGGACCAGAGGCTTCGGATTTCCCTAGTAATACCTTGTTCCTTGTCTCTGAGTTTTCCTGGTAGGCTGTTTCTCAGAGGGGGTCGGTCTCTTGCACTCTCCCACCTTCTCCCATTGTTCCAGATTGTTCCTGGTAGTGAGGGTGACAGGAGCTCTGTGACTTCTGATCAAGCATCAGATTTGTGGGAGCACTGGGTCTTGGGGTGTGGCCTTCACAAGACCCCATGCCCTTCACCTGCTTTCTTTTCCCCTAATGGCAGTTCACTAGGTGTGCTCAGCCTGTCTCTGCAGCCTTCCCCGCACACTGAGGTGGGTGTAACTTCAGGGAGAGAGTGGACGTGGGTGAAGATAAGGTGTGGGCCTCCTTCCCCTTCCTCGTGCTCTAGTGGAATTCTCCCAGCGCAAGTGCTGGCCATGGTTAATGTCTCCCTGCAGATTAACCGTTTTGTTCCACGGGGAGATGGGGGAAGTGCGTCTGGAATGGTCTGACATTGGCTGCTCTTCTTTCCCCAGGCTCTGCAGGGCTGGGGAGAGGCTTTCTCCCTCCTGTCCCCTGCCCCAGAGAGCCTTTTCAGGTTTCTGGAGGGAAAAGTCCACAAAGAATGGACACTCCTCCCGATTGCAGCCCCAGGGCTGACTCAGACGCCAGCCCACATTTAGTCTGCAGCAGTTTGTCAGGGTCTCTGGTTCTTCTTCCTAACTGCATGGGATGGATGCCTGGATACTCCTAGGACTGTTTCCTTTGGTCAGAGAGGAAGCTCTTAGGTGTCTTTTCAGCCTTAGCTGTTGTCCCTTCCCTCCTGAAAAGGCTAAGTCAGAAGAAAACAGGAAAAAAAGAAAACGGGGAGAAAAATGTGCCTCCTGCCCCGGGCTGAGCTTTAGAGATCCACCTTGTGGCCAGAGAGCGCACTCCATCCTTTCAGCCTCTCAGAGATCTGTGAGACTCGCCCCAGGGTTCAGCATATGGTCAATTTTTGTAAATGATCTCATTGTGCTTCAAAGCGCATTTATTCTACAGTTGTTGGGTGCTGTGTTTTATGTTAATGTCTATTTAGGTCCAGTTTATTGATCATGATCTATTAATGACTGAGAATTGTTAAAAAAAACTTTCCCATGACTATGGAGTTTTTAAATTTGTCTTTGTAAATCTCTAAGTGTTGCTTTGTATAATTGGAGTGATTTTATTACATACATAACTAATTTGAAACGACATTTTCCTGATGAATTATACTTTGAATCCTGTGAATTATCTCTCTCTTGCGGGTTTGAGTATTATAGCTAGAACAGCTTTCTTTTAGTTTGTATGATTTTTTTCCTATACTTTTTACTTTTTGCTATTTTCTCTGGTTATATTTTAAGCATTATCCTTGTTCTTTTCATTTAGTATAATTTTTGTCTTTTGGACCAGTTGCATTTAATTAGTATATTTGAATTTGTCTGACATAGTGTTATGTTTTATGCATTTTACTTGTTCTTTGATCTTGCTTTTTGTCCTAATATTTATTTGGATGTGAGAAAAAAATAGAGTATTTAAATTCTGTTTTTCCTTTCTATTAGTGTAGTAGTTCTCTCTCTGGGGTAATATAATAATCGGTCACCTTCAGGATGAAATAGTCTGAGCACGTATATTCAGTAGGTATAACTTTTAAAAACTATGGTAATATACACTAATTTCATTATTTACATCTCTGATGTCAGAAGCAGTATCTTTCTCTCTGGGTTGGGACAAGTTAAGCTGGATAATTTTTTAGTGTAAACTATCCATGTGCTGACAGGTGAAAGCCTCTGTCACTTAAAAATTAAAAAAAAAAACACCTACAAGAAGGTATAAAAGGATTGGACTGATTTATAAATCATCTCTGAAAAGAAAAAAAAATTTGACAGCATGAAAATACACCATGAATAAGAAACACTGGTCAGAAGAGGATGTTTACTAAGGACTTTAGGAAAAGGGATTTCAAAGGAATCTAAGGGAAGATAGGTAAGCTTTCTTAGGTAATTAAAATTTTTCCATTTTATCCTGGCTTGTGAGAGGTGAGAGAACAGAAAAATGAAATTTTATAGTTGTGAACTCTTGGGCCAGGAGGGGGAAATGGTGGAGAAATATTAAAACAAGCAACACACCGGCGTGATCCTTGAGCTCCTGTAGGTCTCAGGAACTAGGTCCAGTCTGTGAGACTGGGTGGGGGAAGAAGCCCTCAGCAGGCGTAGGGAGCCCAGGAGGTTTGCTGAAGACAACAGTTGTGGGGGTTTTGAGCTAGTGAAGTCTGCCTGGTGTTTTTACTGTTGAAGTCAGACGCAGGAGGCCCAACTGGATGGTTGCTTTGCTAAGTAAATCTCTATCTGATAAGTACGAACATCGTTGTGTATAACATGATCAGTTTTATCTAATCTTTTAAAAACTTGGATCAGGGTGATGCGGGAGCTCCCATTGGCTCCTCTGTACCTTTTGCGCGTTGGCTCCTTTCCATTTGCCTTCTAGTCACCCACTCCCAGCCATATCTCTGGGTTTAGCTCATCCTCGTCACCTTTTTCTAAGTCGTTATTAATTCCCTTACCTGATTTCTCTGTTGATGGCCTTTCCCCCTTCTTGCATTTCTCCCATGCCATCGGATTATTAGTCCTAAAACACCCTTATAGCCTCAAAATCTTATAGCAGCTCTTGATTGTCTATGATATTAAGTAAAGTTTTTCATCACTAGACTTCTTTTGGCCTTAAGAGTCTCCGCTGTGAATTGGGGGTAGTGACCTTACCCTCCTCTGGCAGGGTGTGTGAGGGCTGGAGGTAAGGCGCTGGTCACCTTGGTGCATTTTATTGCCTGACATATGCAGGCTGTCAGATAATTATTCCGACATTTAAAGCCCTCCTTTAACTTTCCAGCCTTACCCATTGAATTTTATTTCCGCTACTATAAACTGGGCACCCCCAGTACGTCCTGTGGCCTCTCCACTGGCCCCAGACATACTGTGTGTTTCACTTTCTGGCTGGACGTCTTGGCCCACATCCTGCTGCTTCTTCATCTGTCCCCTCAGCCTTCAGAGCTCAGTTACAGCCTCCTCTTTCATCAGGCTGTCCCCGACACGTCCAGCCCTAACTGATCTTCCGACTTCTGATGATAATCACTGTCCTCCCCACACTTCATCACTGAACTGTGCTGTTAGAAACTAGTTTGCCAAGAAAGTTCGATTTTGGTGCCTTTTGATTCTTATTTGTATATGTAAGGTTTTTGTTTGTTTGTTTGTTTTTCATATTCTTTTTATTAAATATAGATTTTTAAAATTGCCTTAAAATAAAAATCACAGATACAGTGTTAGAAGCTGCTTGAAAAAAATCTGAGTTGTGTTTTTGTATACTTGTTTTGTATTGCATGTTACTTTAAGGCTAGAACTAGTAGAATGTCCATTTCTTGTACAGTTATGATAGTGTAAAAATATTCAGTGCAAACTACAACATTGGTCACTTTTTCTTTTTTATGTGCTCACAGATTAATAATCTTTTTTTTTTTTCCAAAATCTTTTTTTGGGGGGATAGGGGGGATACCAGTGGCACTTTATTACTGAACCACATCCCCAGCCCTTTTTATTTTTTGTTTGGAGACAGAGTCTTGCCAGGTTGCTAAGCGCCTCAAATTGAGTTGCTGTGTCTGGCCTCAAATTTATGAGCCTCCTGCCTCAGCCTCCTGAGTCATTGGGATTATAGGCATGCAGTACTGTGCCCCCTGAAAAATCTTTTTTTCTTGATTATATTTTTGAAAAATTAGAAAATACCGAGTAGCACTTGCAAAAAATTACCCTACTTCCTTTTACCAGTGCAAGATAAGGACCATTAACATTTTTGTTGTGTATGTTCTTTAATTTTTTTCTGTAATAGGTAAGTTTCCTCCTGAGTTTCTCACTTTGTAATTCTTCCTGCTTTATTGTGTGCATGTATGAATATGTAAAAACAAACTCCAACACCACCATTATGTACAACTATAATACCCCAATAAAAAAATATGGAAAAAAAAAATAATTCTTAATGCTTGTTTTTCAGCTTTTCCTGACAGGATTCCTGTACACCCTGGAAGTGCTTGAGGAAGAGTGATGAAGGCAAGTATTGAGTCTGTTCTAGTCAGTGCAGTTCACTTGGAAAGGAAAAGTAGAATAAAAAGACAAAGGTCGTTGGTGTGTAATGGGGGGTGGCTGGTGGAGCGCCCTCCAAAACATTTGTAACGACCTTTTCACTTATATTGGTTCAGAGTAACTTGTTTCTTGTTAACTAACAGCTTGGTATGTTTTTAGTAAAACTGTGGTGGAAAGATTAATTGTTGGATATTCTGAGAGTTTAACAAAATTATCTGAAGAGCCTGGTCAACGGTAGCTGCTATTGTCTGTTCCCAACTTTCACTCCTTCCTCTTCACCCCTTTCTCTCACGTTGCTTTGTTTCCTTTCCCCCTTTTCCACTTCCTGTGGTTTACTTAAAAGAACTTCATTTTTTAGAGAGTCTCAGTGAATAAAGGAGGAGCCCTCATTTCCTGTTTCCCTCTTTTTAAAACTACAGTTGGCTTTGCACAGTTGAACTTGAACTTGAGCCGGGATCTAATACAGATAATTGGGGAGTTTTATAAACTCAGAAGAAAATAGGGAAGCACTAAAAAACTTTGAGGTTATTGAATTTCTTTCATGCTTGCATTCTTACAATATCAGCAGTTCTATAGCCATAATTATTACACTATTATCATTGCATGTGGTTCTGCTAATAACGTTTGACTTTCCTTAATATTTGGCATACATTGAAAGGGTCCCTAAAGGCTTTTTGTATAGAAAATTTAAGGAACCTTCAAAACGGTGGCCATGTTTCTTGTTGGTGCTGATAGCACAGCAGTAATGCAGACTATAGCTACAAGTGTAAGTACCAGATGACATTTTATAATCAGAGTTATAGGTGGTTTTTCCAAATTTTTATCTGGTAATTTAATGCTTAGAGCTCAGTAAGGTGCGTTAGTAACATTAAGATAAGTCATGCCTTCGGAAATCCTGAAATCCATCCTACTCTGCGACCTAATCCTTGCAACTGGGAAGAGAGCCTTGGTTTAGAGGCCTTAGCTCTGCAAGACTCAGCTTAGAAATTGACGCCACTTCAGGTTTTCCCAGAGAATGCTAATATTTCCTTGTCATCAGTCATCATTGCAGATTATTTGAAAATAAATAATAGACACATGCTAGTGATGAAATCTCAGACAAAATTAGTGACATTTAAAATGTACCATATTGTCCATGTTTTAAATAGGAGAGAAACAGATGGTCACTTGATTAGTTTATAACACTGCCCAAAGAAAGAGATTTGTTGGATAATAATTTCCTAATACCTGTATATATGAGACAAGTAGGCCATGTAGTTTTTCAGCTAACCTTGACATTCTTTTATTCATGTTTTCCTTTAATCTCAGGGGATAAATTTACTTTATACAATTTACTTACAACAGTAACAATAAAAAAGTGAGTTGTCATGTTAGTTAATGCAGCGCAAATAAGGGAGGACCAGGCCACCTCTTCACTGTCAGCCTGCAGCTCTGACGTCCTGCCATCTTTTTAGAGTCTAGGTGGCCACTGTGCAGAGAGATTAGTTAGTGTGTCCACTGTTACTGGATTATCTTGGCTCCATCGCCTTTAACTCAGGAGATTACAAATAACTCAATAACTATTAGTCTGCCAGACCAACTCCCAAGGAAGGGGAAGATAATTAAATACATACATTATGGGCAAAACTTTTGCCCAAAAGGAGCCCACCCAAAAAACTGCACCAGAGCCCAGGACATTCATTAATCTAATTAAGGGTTAAGGGTTTTTTTCTGGGCTGTCCCAAAGGGACAGAGAAAAGGCAAATAGGCAATCAGGGAAAGGATCAGAGGCCACAGGAGGATGGCAAGATTTCAGTGGCACCTCAAAGAATTTGAGCGAAAGGTAGTGAAATTTCCTATTATTGCTGTTCTGCGTTTGCTTTTTTTTTTTTTAAGATGCAAAGAATTTTATGGTATTTCAAAAGCAGGAAGGTACAGGTGACAGACCAGTGTCTTTAACGCTGTCGCCCTGTTTGTGCTCATGAGAGGTAAAAAGTCAGGATGAGGAAATGGGCATGAATGAACAGGGACAGTGGAGTCCCCGTGACAGTGTCCATGCAATAGGCCAAGAAGGTCTTCTGAGTAGTCACTAGGAAGAAACCTCTAGAGAGTTTGAATTCATTCGAAGCAAACCCTGACATCCAGCTAATTTACAGCTCCTAGAGAGCCACTTGGGGAAAAGGTGTCTGCGTGTCCCCAAAATGTGATCCGCACACTGCTTCATTGGTATGACTTAGTACCTGGGAATGTAGACAGCTTAAAAGACTTCTAAACCAAAGGTTGAGAGAAAATCTGGGCATAAAGAACTTCCTGTATCTTGTTTTGGCCTCACCAGCAGCTTCTGTGAGTTTATGCAATTGTATATTTTTACAAACTCAATAAAAAAAAATAAACACTTTCTACTAAGGAGAAATCTCATCCCTCCCCCCAATCCCCTTCAGCATGTGATCTCAGTAACCATGGCAATGATGCTGACTTGACCTCTCTTGGTTTGTGCTTCCTTTTAACCTCCTGCATCTAACACTGGTGTATGGTTGCTGTTTGATCTCTCCTTTTCTGTCCATCACGCCCAGTTACTGTGTGACGTCTTTGCCTTTGAATTTGTGTAGATACACAGGACGCCTCTGTCAGGCATGGTACTGTTGAGAAGGGGATTGTCTTTGAGTCTCCTTTCTTGAAAGCTGCTACTGGGCAAAGCTCTAGTCTCTCTGAAGACTGTTTCTGTCTGGCCTGTTTGTCCACACGGTGCCAGAAAGGTCGTTTGTGCTTCAGCAGAGACTTCAGCCTCTAAGATTTTTATTCCTGTTGTCCTCTCAAAAGAGCAAGCCTGTCACCTCTGATTACCAGTGAGCTTGATGAATGAATGGTAACAACATTCCATTGTATTCCATTGCAATCCACGGATCTTAGACTTGGATATTCACTTCTCACTATTATTCTTTGAATTTCCTGAGTTTCAGCATGTGGATAATTAACTGTAGTTTTGAATGACAGGAATTAAATTGTTGCATCCAGAATAAGCTTTGGACAGCTTTTGTCTTAATCTCCTAAACAGCCACTGTTCTGTCAGCTACTACTGTGTCTCTTCCAAGATGGTGAATCTGCTGTGGGATTCTTCACATATTGAAACATTTTTTTAAAATGTTGCTGTTTTCATTTCCTGTGTATTTGTTCTGGGCTTCACCCCCCCTTCCTAGAAAATAGTCATTATTCACTATCTAGAAAACTATCTTTTAATCTTTTGATTAAAGATTGCTTGATGATAGTGCCTATTTGTTTGGTTAATGGCATGTTTTTCTTTGTTTTAACACTGGAGTTTCTGCATGAACTTATGATATAAGGTTCTTTTCTTTTTCTTTCTTTCTTTCTTTCTTTCTTAACATTAGATAGGCATGAAGCCTCCGTCTCACAGCTGCATGCATAGTCGCTGTTGAAGCAAATGCCTACCTAATCTGACAGTCTTGGTGTGTTTAAAATTTTTTGAGTTTGCAAATAAGCTTATTAAGTCTCCTGATGGAGCCTTCGGGCAGTGAACAGTTATATGAGGACCCTGATCCTGGAGGCAAATCCCAAGATGCAGAGGCCAGAAAGCAGACAGAATCTGAACAAAAGTTATCTAAAATGACCCACAATGCTTTGGAGAACATTAATGTGATTGGCCAAGGCTTGAAGCATCTCTTCCAGCACCAGCGCAGGAGGTCATCAGTGTCTCCACATGATGTGCAGCAGATTCAGACTGATCCAGAACCCGAGGTGGATCTGGAGAGCCAGAACGCATGTGCTGAGATTGACGGTGTCCCCACCCACCCCACAGCTCTGAATCGGGTTCTGCAGCAGATCCGCGTGCCACCCAAGATGAAGAGAGGAACGAGCTTGCACAGTAGGCGGGGCAAGCCAGAGGCCCCGAAAGGAAGTCCGCAGATCAACAGGAAGTCTGGCCAGGAGATGACCGCTGTTCTGCAGGCAGGCCGACCCAGGTCTTCCTCCACCACCGATGCTCCCACCAGCTCCGCCATGATGGAGATCGCTTGTGCGGCTGCGGCGTGTCTCCCGGGAGACGAGGCATCCGTGGAGCGGGTGAGTCCTCCAGGTTTCCTTTTTCTTGTAGCCTTGGGTGTGTGTGCACAGCCTTAAGACAGGTCTTGGTTGATTTTCTGGCGTATCCATTGTGTGGAAAGCCTCCTCCTGGTGCCTGAGTGTACTTGACTTTGGGTTAGTGGAAAATAGACGTAGGGCAGCAAGATGGGATGTCTAATTGGAAACTGCGCATGGATGGGTTTTTGAAATGGGGTAAGCTTTCATCAGTCATTCACTAGTACTTATTAATACCTGCTGTGTACAAGGTGATGGTCCAGGTAGTTAGGGGACATCAGGAGACACAAGGAAGGTTTCTGCCCTGCGGCTTGCTTTGTATTGGGGGAGACAGCGCGCCTCAGGGAGAGGAGGTGGATTGTGTGATGAGCACTGTGGGGAAGAAATAGAACAGGAGGAGAGATGAGGAGTGTGGGCTTCACTGTGAAGAGGACACTTGAGGGAAGACCTGCAGAGATGTGGCGACCGGGCACTAGCGCTCCAAGCAGGTGAAGCAGCCCAAGGGTGGGACTGCCTGAGTTGTCAAGGAATAGTGAGGAGGCTGGTGTGGGAGAGCCGTGTGTGCAGTCATAAGAGATGGGGCCAGGGGGGGTCACAGGTAGGGCTTTGTAGGGTTTATAAGGCCTTTGTATGCCCAGTGAGATGGGGAGCCATTGAGGACTCTTGAGCATGAGAGGGTGTGGTCTGACTCATATTTCTAAAGGCATCTCTCTGGTTACGGTGTGGACAGACTACAGCAGGTCGGGGTGGGAGCCAGGAGAGCAGTAAGGAGTCTGTGATAGTCTCGGCAAGAGATGGTGATGACTGAAACCAGAGTTTTAGAGCAGTTGGGACTGTGGATGTAGCACAGTGATCGTGTGCTTTCCAGCATGTGCAAGGTCCTGGGTTTAGTCCCCAGCGCTCCCCCACCCTCCAAAAAGGCAGGTAAAGAGATCACAGCAGAAGAAATCATAGGGTGACAGATTTTGAAGTTCCTGAATAGGATTTAAGTACTTATTGTTTGGCCTACGATTGTTTGAGGTCAGAGATCTGCAGACCTTCCTTTAAACAGTAAATGTTTTCAACTCTGTGCAGCAGCCCAGCTGTGTGTTGTCGGGTGTGTGAATGAGCCTGCCTGGCTTAGCCGGTGGATGTTACCTGGGCTTACGGGCCATGCTTGCTGGCTCCTGTGTTAGGTACTCAACATGTGAATGAGTAAAACAGATAAAAATCTTTGCCTTTTATGGAGTTTACTGTGTAGAAGGGGAAGATTTTAATAAAACGTGTAAGTAAAATACAGAGTACAAGAGTTGTAAAGAAAGATAACTGTAAAGTAGAATGGTCAGGTTGAATGTCACTGAGAGTGCCATCCATGACCAAGACCCGAAGGATGTGAGGGAGCAAACCAAGCCACTCAGGTGTCTGGGGAAAGAGCATGCCAGGCAGAAGGAAGGGCACATGAGCATCTCCCAGAGACCTGCACTATAAAGAAATGGTATTGAAATTGTTTTTTTCTCAGCACTAAAATGAGAGGGATGATACTGCACTTCAAGATCATAAGTCAGGCCACATGCTCTGGCACATGCCTGTAATCTCAGAAGCTCAGGAGGCTGAGGCAGGAGAATTGCAAGTTCGAGGCCCAACCTCAGCAACTTAACAAGACCCTGTCTCAAAATAAAAAATGCACAGTACTGAAGACAGACGAACACAGACCCAAAAGTCATGTGTGTGCCAGATGAGTAAGGAGCACCACTTGGGACAGTTCTTACTAATAAGAATTTGGTCTGTAAATAGTATTTAAACCTCTCTTGTGGTTTGAGCATTAAGACTTTTCACTTCATGTGCTTCTCTATCTCTAGCTGTCATCATGTTAAGTTGTCACCCTTCCTCTCAGGGTAATTTGTTCCTTTTTTCAGTCTCTACAAGTACATGCATGATAACACACAAATATTTATACTGTTCACACAGATTTCTGCCCTGTCAGTTTCATTAAATTTCTTTATAACAAAGACTTTATTCTACCAATAACTGTCTCTTCAGTATTTGTAGTTTGGAGATTAGCAATTTGGGGATGAGAGATTTCTGTCATGTTGTTATTCTCAGAGACCTTACCATCTTGTTAAGGAGGCAGGAATTACATACAGTGGCAGTTTGCGAAGCAGCGTGATATAATGTAACGAAGCTCAGAAGTCAGGAGCTTGTGGTTTTAGATTCCAGTTACTTCTGTAATTAAGTATCCATGTGACCTTAAGGAAATTAAACTCTCTAGGTTTCATTTCCTTCAGTTTCAAGATGAGGTCATTTCAATAAATAACATTTAATGTTGTTTCTCATCTGAAAATACTATAAATTAAACTTTCTGTATTTCCCATTTTTTTTTTCATGGCATGCACAGAAAGTTAAAATCCAGACAGCAAGCAGGGTGAACTGATTGTCTAGGGCTGAGGCAGTTGATTGTGGCCTGAGGCTGTGCCAGCCCACCTGGAGAACTGAGTTAACCAGTGCCTGCAACATACTTTTAGTCCATTCTCAGCAACTAAAAAGCTTCAGTGGAGAACAATATGTATCAGATGTTATTGAAATTAAGATGGTAGAAGGCCCAAGAAGAGCTCAGTCTAGGGCTGTGTAGAAAAGGTGCACTGGACAGCATGTCAGATGACAGATCTTCAGTACAGATCTTTCCAGTCAGTACAGATCTTTCCCATTATATAATGACACAATATAAGCAAATAATTAGGCTTCAAAAATAGTTGAGATGCAAACAACAACACAACACCCCAGTTGTGAGTCTCTGGAGAGCTAGGACCATACATGGCAATTAGTTGTGTGTCTCTCCCACATAGAGAACCCTGGGGTCTGCCAGTTGACAAGGGTTAGCCAGACACTTAGGGGAAGCAATAAGAGATAAGTTAGGAAAATATATAATTATATATAGCTTATTTTTCAAATTTCAGTTTAGGGAAGAAGTTTTTTATTTAGGAATATGAATGTGAAACTAAATTTTGATGATTTGACTGAAAATAGGAAATACTGAGATTTTTTTTTAAGGCAGAGGGATTACATGTTAAAAAAATATATTAGCTGGGCACAGAGGTGCACTTCTGTAATCCTGGTGACTTGGGAGACTGAGGCATGAGGATCTCAAGTTCAAGACCAGCTTCAGCCACTTAAAGAGACCTTGTCTCAAAAATAAAATAGGCTGGGGCTGGGGATGTGGCTCGCCTGGTATGCATACGACCCGGGTTCGAACCTCAGCACCACATACAAAGATGTTGTATCCGCCAAAAACTAAAAAATAAATATTAAAAAACTCTCTCTCTCTTTAAAAAAAAAAAAAAGGCTGGGGATGTAGCTCAGAGGTAGAATTGCCCCTGGGTTCATATTCTCTCTCTCTCTCTCTCTCTCTCTCTCTCTCTCTCTCTCTCTCTCTCCACATACACACACACACACACACACACATCAAATTTTTTAAAAATAACTGCTTAAGATGGAAATTTACTAGGTTGAAGACAGAATAAAATGGGAAAAACCCATCTAAGGTACCAGACAACTTTACTGAGAAGTCATTGTCATGTAGCATAGAATCTGTCAACTTATAAAACATATACTCAGTTGTTCATTTCTGTGGGAGAAGTCGTTCTGAATTTCAGTGTTAGAAATGGTTTGTAGATTTCCAGTTTAGTCCAAAAGGTGCATTCCTCCAAAACCTAGTTGAAATATTGTAACTATGCCACTATTGCAATAGTAACTACATAGTAAACAGTATAAATTGATGCTATTTAAATGGCTCCTTTTTGTGGGGAGGGGTACTGGCAATGATGAGTCCAAGGGCACTGTACCACTTAGCTACATTCCCAACTGCCTTTCCCCCCTACCTCCCCCTTTTAAGACAGGGCCTTACTAAATAGCTGAGGCTGGCCTTGAACTTTTGATCCTCTTGCCTCAGCCTCCCAAGGTACTCGGATTACAGGAAGGCACTATTAAAAAATACCTCTTGTTTTATAAAATAGTAAGAATGAATGCAATGTTTTTGTCATAAATTTTAAGATAGAAAAGGTTTAGAGGGAAAAATGAGACAGTAGATCCAAACTTGATCTTCTAAAGGGAAGGTTGGAAGTGACTTTTTAAAAAATGACATCACTTTAGAGCTCACTAATTGTTTTCCTCTTCATAGGCAAATTTATCTTTAATAGGCTACAATTAGGGACTTGTTTTGGATAACTTAAAATATGGACAAAGAAAAAAGAATTTTTTGTAGTGTGTGGCTAGTAACTGGAGTATAAAGAGGACGGGACTGTGTGTGTTCAAATAAAGAAATTTCTGTGATTGAATTAGTTGAGCTATGAGCAAAACCAGAAAGCGAGCTGTACTTACTTCCAAGAGGATAAGGTGTCAAGAAAAAAGATAATTCCTGTTGCTGACCACCAGATGGTGCCCTAGGGCAAGCACTGGTAGATGGAAGTGAGGGGTGACCGTCCTGACTGGACATTAATTGTGGATGATATTTTGAGAAGTAACCTATACATGAGGTCATTAGGATAAAGGCTAAGTGACTAAGATAAGTTAGCAGGTGTTCTTGTAAATATCGAATTGGTTACTGTGGAAATAGAATAGGTAATAGAAAAGCACATAGGAAATCAAAGGTTAAAAACAAACAGAAAATTTTAATCCCAAGATTTGCTTGGGAGAACTGGTAAAAAAAAATAGTGTTGGTTTTCCACAAAATAGTCAAAAAATTGTGTTGATGAAACCCAATAGAGAGCTCTCTTTTTTACTTATTTAGTGTCAGTGGAGTTACCAACACTGTTGAGGGAATCTCTTACAGGCAGTTGATAATAACATGGGACTGGAAAAGTGGCCTTGAGTTAGAAATGAAAATATTTTGGCTTTTTAATTGTTCTTTCCAAAGCTTGATTGTCACAGCAGGTGACTTATATAGGTTTATTGACCCTTGGAGCCAGAAGTGTATGGCTACATCCTGCCCGCCCCCACCATTTTTTGATTAT